TGAGTCTGCAAAATTGTAGTCAAAGAGTCTAGGGGTGCTGTAAAAAAAACGAAATTGAATTTAGGCCTATTTTTTGTCGTTTTTATACGGTTTTTTGGAGCAACCCTGTCTTTTTAAATTCAAAATGCTTCGAATTTATAAAAGTTCGTCAGATGTAACTTGTTATTCCGACTTTCGAAGAAAGGGACAGAAATATTTTGCTCTGGAAGGTTTTTGTCTCCAGATAAGTTTCGGCTTTTCAACTAGCAATTTTTCACATTTTTTTGCCATCAGAAAGTATTCATTTTCCTGGGCTCAAATAAAAAAAATATATTTCACCTTGAAATCTTTTTTGAACTTTTATGGGGATTTCAAGACTGCCATTTTTGGGATAATAAATGTGCAGTTTTTTTTTGTGCTAATAACCCCTTGGATTTGAAACTGCTTTTTGGTCCATTTTAAACTTTGCTTTTTGCGAAATTTATTTTAAAAAAATTAAATAAATTGCCTGATATTTAAATTAAGCAAATACTTCATACACCTTAAGATCCAGTCGTAAATTTCAAAACATCGTTCCGATACGAGCAGTCTTGTTGTTGAGATTTACAATGAAAGTGACGGAGCGTTTTTGCTCGCCTTTTTCTCCAGACATCTTTCGGTTACTTCAACTAGCAATTGGAGCTTTGACAGAAAATTTTTGAATATAAATCAAAATTATTGTTTTTATGAGCTCAATATTAAATAAAATTTTACCTGTGATCAGTTTTTGTTAATAAAATTTTTACCTGTCAAAATTATTGTTTTTATGAGCTCAATATTAAAGAAAATTTTACCTGTGATCAATTTTTGTAACAACATGGAGGTTTCCAGATTGTCAATTTGGCCAATTTGGGTTAATTAACGCGAGATGCCTTTCGTGCTATTACCGCGTGAAAAGTTCATTAATCTGTCTTAGATATCGTTCCAAACTAAACTGAAACATGCTAGTTGGTCTTATTAGCACTTTGCTCTTAGCGAATTTGCTTATTTGTACGTTGCTCGTCACTTTATTCATTGCATAGTGATCGAAATAAATCTTCTCGAAACAAAACTCAGAAAATTTTTTCAATCTTTGAATTTTCATCCAATTTTTATTGCGTACAGTTACTCCATAAACTTCAAAAGGCAATCAAATTTTCTAGAACCTTGCCCTTATACGAGCACTCTTGCGTTTCCGACTTTCAAAGAAAGTGACACAATGTTTGTGCTCTGGTGTTTTTTTTTCTCCAGACAAGTTTCGACTTTTTAACTAACATATTTTGACGGGGTTTTTTTCATATAAATTGAAAAACTTTGCCGACAAGAACTAAGATTTAGAAAAAAAAATTCTCACCTGTGATCAATTTTTGCAAAGTTATCGAGGCTCGAGGAATTGCAATTTGGCCAATTTGGAATAATCAACGCGCGAGGTATTTCGTGTTAGTAACACGTGAGCAGAATTTAACCGACTTAGAAATCGTTCCAAACAAAATTGAGACGTGCTCTTTGGTCTTCTTAGCCTTTTTGTCTTTTTGAAACTTACCACTTTATGATACGTTTTTGCTGTTTGCGATACTCGTCACTCTATGCTTTACATAGCATTTAGATTTATGCTTCTCAAAAAAAATTAGATTTATGGTTCTCAAAAGTTACTCTGTATATTTTCAAAAACATTTTGATTATTCAAGGCTTGGTCTTGACACAAGCAGTTTTGTTCATTTTTGAAATTTATCTTACGTTTCAATAGTAATACGCTGTCAAAAGATTGAAAAGATTTCAGTTTTGAAGTTTAATAACAATGATCTTAATCCAAATGCTTCAGAAAGTTTCACAAACATGGATTTTCAGAGGTATTTAAATCAAAGTGGGAAAAAAATGCAAATAAAGTTGTTATGTTTATTTTTACCATCTTTGAGTATGAATTGCGAAGGAAACAAAGAATTCAGTCGACTCCTTTTTTGCCATTCAAAGAATAGAAATGGGAGATGAACTTCCAGGAACTAATACTGCCTTGTTTGGACGAAAATAACTACTGATTTTATTTAGAGGAGTTGAGATTCTTCAGTAGATACCATTGAGGGTAATTGCCCATTAGATCCTGAAAGAAAAGAAGCTACAAAAGCTGCTAGTTTGCTGATGTTTTCCATTAGAGGCGGATTAAGGGGCGATGGACTCAAAACTCGCGCAACCTTCTTTTACCTATGATTGTATTTAAGTATTTCCATTTTTGGATGGCCGAAAAATCAACATCTTTTAAACGACCCTGGCCTTCTATTTTTACTAAAAGAAAAGGGAGCAACGTACTAAAAACACGCAAATTTTTTTTACAATACCTTCCATAAAAGATCCAAATCAGAAAAAATTCCTGTGGCCCAAAACGTTTTGGTTAAATAGGGTCATTTTAAGCTTCTAGAAGAGCGCGGACAATCAGTTTGATCGGGTGTACATATTATGAGAATATTAGGAGAATATATTAATAGTTTTCAAGGTTATGGATCTTCTGATTTAGTATTATTATAAAATGTTTGAATGCAGAGGCAAAACCTGGAAGTGGATTCTGGTATCGACATCTCAAAATTTTTTGTGAGGTTCTCCCTTGGTATGGACCCTCTAGGATTGGGAGATTTCAGCTGTCTCGAACTTTGGAGAATTCGTGGGAAACGCAGTCGAAGTTACCAACCTCTAATGTTTTCTCATGTTCTCCCTTGCTAAGAGATGGCACGCCTTAAGAATGGATCTTGAATCGAATGCCGCCTCTCAGTTTTAATTTAAAAATGCAAAATATTAGCAATTAATGCTTCTACAATGCAAAAAAATTTACTAACTAGTTTCATGAATTAAAAAAAAATGTTTTTAATCAGGGGCGGATCTAGGATTTTCTCGAGGGGGGGGCGGATTTTCAAAAAATTTTCCAAAATTTTGACGATCTTTTTTTTTTTTTTTTTTTAGGTCGACCAAATTGATTTTTCGAGCTCTCCCAAAGCACTGTTTAGCCCCTATTTTGGGCACTTTTTGAAAAATTTAGACAAAAATAGCGTTTTTTTGGCGCGCGCTCCCCCTCAAAGTTAGTATATATTGGCGCCAAAGGCGCCTTTAGAAAAATTTTAGGGTCGGTCTGCCAAAAATGGATTTCTGAAAAAGTATCAAAGGGGGGACCCTTTGGGTCGGCAGGGGGTCGAATCCCCTGTTTTTAATACAGTTTTAAGGAATGAAAAAAATTCTCATCATACAATTTCATGTTAAGGAAGAATGCTTATCATACAATTTCATAGTATGGAAAAAATACTTATCATACAATTTTTATCTCATTTTCATGAATTGTTGGGGATAAAAACACTGATGAAAAGCCATTATTTTACTTTAAGAGTGTTAAAAAAATGCTTATTATAAAATTTCATGGTATGAAACAAAATTTTTATTTTGCTCTTTTCATTATTTCCTGAGTCCGGGAAATAGTATGAAATAGTATGATCAACAATTTTTTTTAAATATCAAATTGTAATATAAGCATTTGTTGACAACACGGGGTACTTAGTGATGTTTTTCTAAATCACATTACAGACAAAATTTTATTGCAGTCATTGGAAGCCCGCATTTAAAAAAAGTGAAAACAAATCGATCATAATGGATTTTTGTGGTCTAAAATGTTGTAAGCACAATCGATTCCCATGTTACGCTCAGACAGCAAAATTGGACTAATAATGGATTGAAATCCATTTTCTCGCAAAAACAAAATGCATTATAACTCATTTGAAATCCATTATAATTGATTATATAAATAGAAAATTACATCAAAAAGGTTTTTTTTTCTACTTTATTTTTGTTTCGCGTCGCGCAAACTTTTGCCAGAGTTTCTGCATTTATCAAATGAGTTATGCGGAAACTTTGCAAAGCGAGTGTACGGCCTAATTTATTTCTTAACATAAACTCAATTTGTAAAAAGATTCTGTTAAGCTCTCCGCCTCCCTAACGATTGCCCCTTTGCTCCGATTCTCCCCCACCCCCAACCTGAAACCCCCCCCCCCCGCACCTCATCTGAACCACACCCCCCTTCGCACCTATTAAGCTCTCCCCCTGAAGTTTGCACCCCCTAACGTTTGCCCCCCCCCCCCCCCCTAACGTTTGCCTCCCGTAACATTTGCCCCCCTAACGTTTGCCACCCTAACGTCTGCCCCCCCTAACGTTTGCCCCCCCCCCCATGTGAGGGGGGGGGGGGTTGTAAAGGGACAAAGGCTATGGGGGTAATGGAAGGTGGGATTAGTCCACTTCCAACTTTGCCACCTCTCTCCCCCAAAGTTTCTAATAATTTGAGAAAATTGATGAAAGGAACAAAATTCAGTTACAGTTATTGAGTAACATAAAAAGTAACAAAAATACCAAAGTTAGGCAGAAAAAATTTAAATTGAGCAGCAAGTAACCAACTTTAGTTTGAAAGGTAGAAAAGACTTTATGTGCGTTGAAATTCGCATCTGAGTAATAGGGAAAAAAATCGATTATAGTTTAGTTTCATTGTTAGTATCCACAAAAGTGAAAGAAAAAAAAATCGATTATAATGGACGAAAAAAGGATTTTGTTGCCTCGAAAAATAGTAATATTATAATTGATTTTTAATTGATTATAATCGATTTGTTTTCACTTTTGTGGACACTGACAAGGAAACTCAATTATAATCGATTTTTGTTCATGGAACTCCAATGCGGGAGGGTCTTCTCATAGTTATGTCGCGTTCTCATAAGTACAAGATTGTGTACTTCAAACCGCCTGCGACTTTGTAGCCGCCGGAGTAGAAATTCCATTTTCAATATTTTTGTAACGGCGTGAATCGAGCAACAACAACAAGCGCCTCCACAGATCCGTATGTATGTACTTATACCACGAAATGATTTAATTAACAAGTCAAATATGGAATTTTAGGCCTCAAATTTTAAATTCCATTTTATCCAAAAAAAATTGGAACCCATAACTGAATGTCGAAAGACAGAGTAGATTGGAATCTTTCTAACCGACTAATGAACGTGTAGTCGAAACCATCACACGAGTACTTCTGAGTCACCTTCTTTCCCCCTGGCCCTCTCGTGCCCTTGACGTTTACTTTGTGTCTCGGTGATGACTCAACCCCAGCCCCATCTTCATTGGTCGTCGATTGAGACACCCTTTGCAGAGCTTCGCTTCGATACACTGCACGAAGGGACCTAGGGAAAATAAAAATATAAGGCTTGATTTTGAATTCAGATGGACAGCTTTTTCAGCTATGAGCTTCGGCCTAGAGGTTTGCAGTTTGAGACCCTGTTAGGCCTAAACTTTTTGCTTACAAGGTACGGGCAATAACTTACAGCCAAGAAAAACAGTGGGTATGCCTCAATTATCTCGGCTATATCTCTCGTAGTGTTTCCTTCTTCGTACACAATTAGCCTCAGCTTGGCTCGGATTGAAAAATAGGTAAACTATGCTGGATTAAAAAATGAAAGTCTGTAAAAATTACCTCGGGTTCAGATATGACCCTGATGACGTATCGGGCACTTGACATGACAGAGCCGAGTGCCCAGCCGATGACGTCGACACAACTTCAAAGGGAAGTTGCTTCGGCGATTTGGCATCAGTGACGTCATTGTCACCTCCGTCCAGATTTTCAAGGACATCTAGGCAGTCCATTCCTTCAAACAGAGCGGCATTGGTTCAAAAAACATTTCAACAAACAACGTCAAACCTTCTTTCTCTTTTAGATTGCACAAAACTTATAATAAAAGATATAACAAAAACAAACAATTTTAATAAGTGTACAACAGGAACTTCGAAAATATTTTTATTCCTATTTTATGAAGAAAAAAACTGAAAACTGAAAAAAAAAAAGATAGAAACCAGGTTTTACAAAGCTTAAAACATTTTTCCGAATCAATACTGAATATCGTAAGCACTTACTATATTAGGAAACCAAGTTTAACCACTTTCTTTGTCCTTACCAGTGAATGAAGTGGACTGTTGCATCGACAAGGGTGTGAAGTTGAAGTACGGAGAGTCGCTTGACCTATTTGGGTGTGCCGGGGACGCCCTGTGGCTGCTGGGCTGTCTGGACTGCGACGGTGGTCGATTGACAGATGACGACGATGATGAAGCCACTTTTATGGGTGCGTCCTCAAATGTGCATGCCGAAAACCTGTAGTTCTCTTCCGGATTTTGGTGTTTTTCGCGTGAGTCGAGTTCGTCGGAGGGGTTTTTAGGTGGGGTTCGATTTTCTACAAAACCGTTTGTAAAATTTTTGCAGATTTCGGGCTTCGAGTTCTGTGATTCGCTGACGCTTTCTTCGTTGAAGCTATGGGAATTTTTTCTTCCTTTCCTGGGACTGATAATTGATTTTTGATTGTGATCGCTGAATTGGTTAACTTCCATGGGTCTGACACACACTGATCTGAGGCAGCAGGGGAGGCCGTCTTTGCGATGACTGTAGTAGCTGATCATCTAAATGAAAATGAAACTATTTGTTTGTAACCTACTTACTTACTATAATTGTAAAATGTAATACCACTTCTGATACAAGAAAATCGAAAAAAAAAACGAAAATGTTTTCACATTCCAACCCCCACATTTCCATCGTGTCTAATATACAATAAGACGGAAATCTTTTTTTTTGGAACGTGCTTTAACTGAGATTTCATCATGACACATTAGGTGTACTCATTGCTTAATTTTTGAACAAACCAGTATTGTTGGCCATATGTCAAACTTGGCCATATGTTAAACTAAAACGATCAGGTTAACTTATATGGCAATGAATGTTTCCAAGACTAGATTTTATTAAATCATAGCAAAAACCGCTATGTGGCGTTTGAGAAAGTGTGGCGTTTGAAAAAAAGAGAATCGGAGTTTCACTATAATCCACTTGAAATTGAAGTTAAACATACAAGGTTAAAATTTTAGAACACTTCAGAGAAACAACTTTGCAAATGAAATCGGAAAAAATCAAAGAATATTGGTAGGGGTTTTTGATATTGTTATTGGGAAACGCAAAATCAATTCTTTTTTGAACTCATTATCAATTAAAAGGAAACAACACCCGCAACAACAAAAACCTTATAACAAAATAAACTTACTCTAATCCGCTACAAACATGTATGATCAATTATCTAATCATAAAAGATTTAATCGATTAGAACTGCGATGGTCAAATGATCCATAATAGCTAACTACTTCAATTTTCAAATAAAAATTTATGCTATCAGTTCTAATGAAAAATTGAAAACAGGAAAATGATCATTCAAATGATTATTATTCATAAATTTCCAACAATGTCCTACATCTTTAAAAACAATGAAAAAGAATTAACTTCATCAGTTTTTCCGGTCTTGTCCTTCAACAAAAGCTCACAGGGGTAAAATGAGGTATGAACACCAAGCTTGGATCTACAGAACAATTGCCCCCCTTTTTTTAAGAAAAGGGGGCAATTGTAGAGTAGATAAAAAAAACGCATTTTCGACCAATCAGAATGCAGCAAAATTCCAATTCTCAATAGAAAACTCACTGCTAATTTAGTGCTTTTATTAATAGGGGTGGCAATTCTTAAGTAGATACCAAAGAAGGAGGGCAATTGTTAAGTAGATCCCAAAGCTTTATTAGACGCTTATTGGTCGATTGGAAAATCACCAGCATTGTTTCAGTGTCGAGAAAAAATTGTCTGAAACTAAGGGCTCTTTAGACTGAATGACACGAGTTTTTAATTGACAAAATAGGAAGCATTTGCGAATCAACTCTCAAAATGATTCTTTTGCTACTAAAACACTCGCGCGTCAATTGTCCTAAAGTTGGCTAAATGGCAATCCTTAAACCCCCATAATTTTAAAAAAAATGATCACAGGTGAAATATTATTTCAAACTTTTGCTCAGGACAACAATACCTTTTGAATGATATAAAAATATCCCTTCAAAAATGGCTACTTAAAAAGTCGACATTTGTCTGAAGGAAAAAAAACCCACCCGGGTACAAATATTCCATTACTTTCGTTACGAAAGTCGTAACAACACGATTGCTCGTATTAGGCAGAACCCTGAATTTACTATTGCCTTTTAAGGTCTATGGAGCAGTAATAACATGAATCAATTAAATGTAAAAGAAAAAAAATTTTTAAGTTTGAGATTTTTTGTGAAATCATCCCCACACGCCATATAAAATTCAAAGTGATAAACTTCGCTCCTAGTAACACATCAATTATGGCAAATAAGCTTCGCTTAGCCAATTTGGAACAATTTCTAATGCGTATTAAATCTCCGCTCACGCGTTAATAGCGAGAACTATACCGCGCGTTAATTGTCCCTAATTGGCCAAAATGGCAATTTTTAAACCCTCATAACTCTACGAAATTTGATCAAAGGTGAAGTATTTTTTCAAATTTAAGCTCAGGACAACAATACCTTTTGAATGATATAAAAAAAACTCCGTCAGAAATGGCTAGTTAAAAAGTCGAAATTTGTCTGAAGTAAAAAAAACCCACCCCGAGCACAAATATTCCGTTAGTTTCGTTACGAAAGTCGGAACAAGACTGTTCGTATCAGCGCGAAGCCCTTAATGTTCCGACTGCTTTTTAAGGTCACTGGAACAGCAGAAAAAATGAAAAATGTAAATGAAATAAAACAAAATTTGTTTTTTTTTTCAGAAAAAAATTGAGAGTTTTTGTAAAAACATCTTCCCACACGCCATATTAAGCACAAAGTAATAGATTTTGCCACTACTAACAAATCAATTATGGCATATAAGCTTGCTTGAACCAATTTAGAACGATTTCTAAGACGGACTAAACCTCAGCTTACGCGTTAATAGCTCGAAATTTACCGCGCGTTAATTGTCCAAAGTTGGCCAAAATGGCAATCTTTAAACCCCCATAACTTTACGAAATTTGATCACAGGTAAAAAATCTTTTTAAAATTTAAGGTCAGGACAACAATAGCTTTTGAATGATATAGAAGTTCCGTCAAAAAGTTCCGTCAAAAAGTTCCGTCAAAAATGATATAAAAGTTCCGGCTGGTTTAAAAGTCGAAATTTGTCTGAAGAAAAACCCACCCCGAGCACAAATATTCCGTTACTTTCGTTACGAAAGTCGGAACAACAATAAAAAAAATCTCAAAGAAGCGAACGATTTATTTCCATTCCTTTGCATGTGCAATCTAATTGACACGCATGCTGAAAGGCCAAAATTTTCGTTATTTTGCAACAAAAGAGCCGATATGCGCGTTATCCCTAAAAACATTTTTGCAACTTTACAAATCAATTTGGAAACAATGCAAAAAATAGGCGGTCTCGATGGAGGACACGCTATTTGTTTCATTGATGAGTTTAATTTGGTTCAGGGACATGAAAACGCAGGGATTGAAAAAACGATTAAATTGCTTCAAACATATATTCTATTGAAGGTACTCCAGTCTAAAGCACAATTATTGCAATAACTGAACATTTATATTTGTAATGGAAGATAACCAAGTCTTATTTTTATCCTAATTGTGCACAACAGAGGTGTCCATCTTCATTACATAAATAATTGAGGTTATATTCTACGCTCTTGAAAACATTATAAATTTGCACAACTTCACTTAAAGGTCAATTAAAGAATCGCTTGATTGATCTATAATAAAAAAACTTTTTTTTTCTCAAATTTATACTTCCACACGTTGTGTAAAACGCAAAACTGGTGCCTACTCTCTGGTATTACTTGAAAAAGAATAAAAGGCTGGCCTGAATTCAATTTAGAACGCAATAATTTGCTAAAAATTATACATATTTTTTTGTAAATTTAATTTCAACTGAAGACAAAAATATCTTCTAAAAAAGTTCTGCAAGAAACGCTTAATTAAAAAGCCGGAAAATGATTAAATAAAATTTTTTCAAAAGTCGGACAATCAGACCAATTAGCTTGCCTCAATTCAATTTGGAACGATGTGGCAGTGCGGGATAAATTGCCACATGTAAATAATTCGACTTACAATTTCAGCATCGAAGTATAAAACGAGCAGCTATTCAAACTCGCTTCATAATCACTTAAAACTCAGGTTAATTGAGTGGTGTGCTGCGCTCCCGTCGGATAACCGAATTTGGATTAAGGTTGGATTGAGCCTCCAAGTGAGAAACTGTTTTTTTTTTGCAATTGGTCTAAAAAAAACACCCGGAACAAAGAGTCCATGTTATGCAAAAAAATTTACTCGTTTTCCCACCAAACCAAATGAATTTTTCGGAAAATTTTGTGTCAATTTTCTAGTTTATATCATACAAAAAAGCTAAAATGTTCGTTGAAGGAACAATACACAATTTACATAAATTGAATTACTTAAATTATACCACACAAATATTTTTCTTAGTTTGCTGAAACAATAAAAAATCATTAAATATCGATATAATTTGAAAAAGTAGGAAACGCATCAACGTTGTGAGAACATTTTTGTTGTTTGACAAGTGTATTATAGTTTCTGATTACAACTTACCGACAAAAAAATGACAAAAACACAAACTTTCAAGATGCATTTTTTAACCTAAGACAAGTCTGAAAAAAAAACATTCCAGTTCATCATGTCCGGTAACGTTAAAGCGATTTAAAGGTTCGTTATTTCCGCTATTTAAAGGGAAAAATAATTTGGGAAATACTAGGTCCAGAAAAAACACGAAAGAATTGGTGACGCTCCATTGGCATATTATCAGTTACGTATAATTTTTCGTGTAAAAATACGTATAATTATTCTGTTTTCTTTCTGGTCAAGCTCTGATTTGTTATTACAAGTCAAAAAGTGGCTGATCACTATTTTTGTTTTTAATGATGCGGAAATTCGAGTAAATCTGGTTGCTAATAACTGATAATTATACAAAACGATACTCCACAATTTTATACGTAATGGATAGCATGCTATGAGACGTCTCCGAACTTATGAATAAGTACCCGAAAGAAAAACTCCCGTATTAAATTTCTACCCCAAGCAGGTGTTGGTTAAAAATACTTTCAACAATTGAAGTTCGTTTTTAGTAAAGCTCATTTAAAAAACTACTTGGGAATCTTCGGAAGCTGTGGAGCTCGTAAGAGAGTCGTGTCTTAATTGTCGGTACTTTGAGTGTCGTGTAGTATACGAGTCACTCTCGGCACGCCTGTGGAAGTACTTCTTGATCATCTTTTTCAAACTCAATATAAATTGTTCAGCTTAAGGTGTGTGAGTAATATATTGCTGCATTTCACGTTTTGTAATTATTTTTCTTTCAATGTTTTTATTTGAAAATTGAATATACTTTCAATTCAGTTAAACGGATCATTCATTGCTCGCTATAAATTACAAAGATTTTTTATATAAAGACATTTTTTTTCGGGGTAAGGTTTAAACTAAGAGCAATTTGACCATTTTTTTTAAAATAATTATGCAGAGTTTGTACTTAAATAGTTTGTAAATTTTATTGGCCAAGCAGCCTAAAATTGTCGCCGAAATATGAAATTATT